GTTTTCGCCATTGATAAGAAGGATAATGGCAAAACAAGCATAGTAAAGCATAAAATTAATACCGGAGACGCTCAGCCAATTAGACAACAACCTAGACGACTTCCATTTGCGAAAAGAGATGAAGCCGAAGACATCATCAAAGATATGAACAAACAAGGGGAAATTGAACCATCTAACAGTCCATGGACATCACCAGTAGTGCTAGTAAAGAAGAAAGATGGTTCAACACGTTTTTGTATTGATTACCGACAGCTCAATGCGGTAACTAAAAAAGATAGTTATCCTTTGCCGAGAATAGACGATACTTTGGATACACTTTCTGGTTCTCGTTGGTTTTCCACACTCGATCTGAAAAGTGGATATTGGCAAGTAGACATGGAGCCAGCTGATCGGGAGAAAACCGCATTCTCGATAGGATCAGGGCTTTGGCAGTTTACAGTTATGCCCTTTGGTTTATGTAATGCCCCGGCCACATTTGAAAGATTAATGGAGGCAGTTTTAAGAGGTCTAACATGGAAAACATGCCTGGTTTATTTGGATGATGTAATTGTAGTAGGAAGATCCTTCGATGAACATGCCAATAATTTGACAGGAGTCTTTCAACGATTGCGGACAGCAAATTTGAAGTTGAGTCCGAAAAAATGTCACTTGTTTCGACGAGAAGTGAAGTACTTGGGACATATTGTAGCAAGTAATGGTGTAACAGCTGATCCTGAAAAACTTGCAGCAATTAAGGATTGGCCAGTACCAAGAGATAAACACGAAATAAGAAGATTTCTTGGCCTATGTACATATTACCGACGTTTTGTCAAAGGTTTTGCCAACATCTCCAAGCCATTAACAAAGTTGACAGAAGAAGGCAAAGAATATACATGGAGCGAAGACACTTTATAAGCGTCTATATTCTTTGCCTTAACCTCTATTTGAAGATTTGCATTTATAATCAGCTGTCAGTTGCAAACTGACAGGTTCATAGGGTATAACAGTTTTTTCGATAAAATATAAATATTTTCAGGTAATAATGAAAAATCGATTGAAAACAAAAAAAAATTTAAATTTTTATGCATGAATAAGTCTAAAAGTATTGATTTTTCTAAAAAAAAAACTGTGAAACTCCACAGTTGTAATGGATTTCACTCCAAGGTAAAATCACACTTTAGCATAGGGTGGATTTTAAAGTTAAGAGTAAATAGAGGTTAATTCCAATTTTCATTAAAATCGATGCATGTTGATGGAAATCGGAGGTTAAGCCGGCCACTCACGGTACAGCGGCGTTGTTCAACTTCGTTGAGTTCGACGAATTGACAAGGATTTTGATCGTGTGTGACCGTGCATCCAACAAAATCGTACAATTTGATCGCAGACAGACTGGCCTGTCTGTGGCAGTACTGCAGAGTTGATTTCATCAATTTGTTGAGCGTGTGTGACCGTGGTACAGCGGCGTTGTTCAACTTCGTCGAGTTCGACAAATTGACAAGGATTTTGATCGTGTGTGACCGGGCATCCAACGAAATCGTACAATTTGACCGCAGACAGACTGGCCTGTCTGCGGCAGTACTGCAGAGTTGATTTCATCAATTTTTTTGAACAGCCAATCGCGTTTACGACCAAAATCCGCCATTTTGAAGGCGGCAATTCAAATATTTACAAAATTGATAAAAAATATTCATTAATCCAATTACCTAATTCAGATTTAAAATGATCTGAACAGACTCTTACTAAAATAATTTTTAAAATTAATTTAAAAAATTAATATTATTCATTAATCCAATTAATTCAGATTTAAAATTATCTGAACAGACTCTTGCTAAAATAATTTTTAAAATTAATTTAAAAAATTAATATTATTCATTAATCCAATTAATTCAGATTTAAAATTATCTGAACAGACTCTTGCTAAAATAATTTTTTTAAAATCGAAACAAAACAAAAAAAATTTACTTTTAAATTACAATACATTGCAAAGTAAGGTTAAAAAAATGCAAAACACTTAGCTGGACGGACGTAAACAAAGCAGACGTCACGCATGTAGAGGTGGTTGATCCAAGTATTTTTGTGGATCAGGTTTAACTGATACGCGTATACAAAAAATGCCTGTTAAAAAATACTTGTTTGGAAATCAGTTTGGTATCATTCGTTTAATAGATATCTAAACATAACGTTAACATTATTTGTATTTTGTTAGATTTCTTTATAGTTATTAAAATGACTGTTTAACTTCAAATACCTAAATTACTGTTATTACATTACATTAATAATACATCTGTCGATATTTATCTAAAGCTTTGTAAACGTTAAGAAATGCACGATAAAAATTAAGGACAAATGCAATGAAACAATTAAATTATTTATTTTTTATGTATATTTGTCATCGATATTTGTTGAATAATCCACTGATCGACAAGCTTATAATTTCCTGACGAATATGAATAACAACAAATGAATACGCATAACATGATTATAATAAATTTTAGCAATGCTACATGAACAAGTAGAAAATAAATATTAGCAAATAAAATTTTAAATATTTAATAATATATTTATTTTTGGCAATGGTGATTTTATAGATATGGATGAATCAATTTGGCAATGTCAACTTGTTTGTGGTAAGCCCATGATTTTGTGGGAATAACTAGAAAATTATTTGTATTGCTGAGAAATTAATTAATTTCTGTTTCGAAATCTTAGTACATATATATATATATATATATATATATATATATATATATATATATATATATATATATTATATATATATATATATATATATATAATATATTGTTTGAGTTTAGTTCTTGAACCTTGATATATATTTTAGGGCATTTTCTTGGGCTTAGGTTCATAAAAAAAAATTGATTTGACACTACGACATTTTCATATATTATACTTCCGACGTTTCGGCAGGAAATCCATGCCTTTTTCAAGAAATAATATTGACTAAAAAAACATTTCATGACAGACATAATACGGTTTAAAAGTTAAATTTTTGACTTACCAAGCATGTAAAATACGGTACTAACAAGTACACGTCACAATTAAAATAATATTAAAAACATAGGACATACCCACTAAGTCACTACATGTAAAATGTATTTTAAATCTTATGTGTTTATTGATGTTGGTTTATCGTTTAAACAATCAGTTATTTTAACATAGGCGTTCTGAGATTGTTTTTTATGTGTTTTTAAATTAAGTTAAAATATATTTTGTTTAAATTTTTGACATATTTTTTATCATTTATGGCGTTGTTATTTTTTTTATTTGTATAGACTCTAGAAGCTCTCTCTTCTTCTTGTTGGGTTTACTTTTTAGGATCTTGGTTTTCTCAAAATCAAATTTATGTTTTTTTTCGTTTTCATGTTTTGTGAGGGCAGTTGAGTTTTTTTGTCATATTTGTGGGAACGTATTCTTGAGTTAAGTAGCTGACTGGTTTGTCCAATATAAACTCCATCACAATTCGAGCAGGGAATTCCATATACAACATGCGATCTTTTTAATAGAGGGTTTTTGTTTTACAAAACAAATAAGTACAGTACCCGTACCATGGACGTATAAATAAAGATTTTCATTTATACGTCCATGACCCGTACTCGTTTATATTGGTGATAGGGATCAGTTCCACAAGTATAAATAAAATACATGTTTCAAAGTAACTGGTACGGGATTAGGTCACCATCGCTACACGCATGTGACGTATTGAAAAGATGGTGGATTTTGGTCGGCGCAGCGATGTGCAAAAACGAGTCCACCTAGTGAGCATAGCTTGTTTCCTTATATCATGCTACACACTTGCTCTAATCATATTAGAAAATCGACATGGCTTCATTTAGCGAGAATTTTTTAAGAGAGTTTTTTGAATTATATAAAGAACAAGAATGTTTATGGCGAATTAAAAGTAAAACGTATCACGATAGAAACGCCCGAAAACAGGCAATGGACATTTTAATATTAAAGTTCCAAGAAGTAAACAAAGATGCGAATGAAGAGTATGTAAGAAAAAAAAATTAACAATTTTAGAACATCCTATAAAAGAGAACTAAAATTAGTATTGCAATCAAGTAAATCGGGTGCATGGACAGACGAGATTTATAAACCTAAATTGTGGTATTTTCCGTTGCTCTCATTTTTAAATGATCAGGATGTACCCCGAAGAGCTATTTCAAATCTATCTGTTGAGCACTCAGTGCATCCCTTTTCATAAGCCATTCTTTGCACCAAAATCTACGTTTCATTTTAGGTTTGTTTTTACGCTTTGTTATACACAAAGCAAGAGACGCTAAAATGATTGTTTGATCTGACATGGTCGAGAACCGAACAAATACTGCGGCGCAGTACGGTGTGTGGGCGCACCAGATATGCCAACAAATTGAACAACGCCGCTGTCCGATTTTGTCGAACGACACCGTTGGACTGTGAATGGCCGGCATTATACCATATTTTTACCGTGGTACACTGGAATAAAACCTGAAACTGAATAAGACATTATATTGACAAACTAGGCATAAACAAGGTGAAAAGAATGGAAGAAGTGTAGCAAATATCAAGAAACAAGAAATGATGGATACAATAGGAACAAAAAAATATTTAAAAGTAGAAAGCGATCGTTTTTTTTTTTTTCATTTTCTCCAAATTATGTGTTAATTTTTATCTTCCTTACTATATATTGATTGTTATGTGAACTATATCACTCTGGTATAATTTGTCAAAATATTTTTTGAATAATAATTCTTCCCTTTGTTACTCACCTCGTTGTTTCGTGTCTTCGTAAATATGGCACTAGCTGTTTAAATATTTTTTTTTGTTATTGGTTAAAAACTTTTTAGTATTTACTTTTCTAGTACATAAATCATTCAAACATCTTACTTATAGTACTTTAGGTATCTTGTTGTTCAAAATTTTATAAGACATTCCACCATAATAAACTTAATACTACTACTTTCATTATGCGCTTTATTTAAACAATTGCACAATGATTTAAATCGTTTCTACTTATTTTTTAGCACCTGAAGTACTAGCCGAAGAACCCGCATTCCCACAATCTGATATTTGGACAGTTGGTGTCTTAACATACGTAATGCTATCCGGAACAGTACCGTTCCGTGGTCAAGACGAAAATGAAAGCAGGCAAAACATCTTATTTGTCCGCTACAGGTTCGAAAACCTATTCCAGGAAGTCACACAAGAAGCCACAAGGTTCCTGATGCTTCTCTTCAAACGCCATCCAAAGTAAGTAATATTAACTTTATTATAACATATTGATCCAAAACTACAGACGGTTATACTCCAATAATCCAAGAATTAGTGAAAGTTTTGACTTGGGTAGGAACTACACTGCGAATGTTTTCAAGCGGAGATTTATGCCATACTGTATTGTGCAAAAGGAAATAATGAAAGAGCTGATGAAAAAGAGCCATATATTGTCTTAGAGCCAAGCGGCATTCAAGGCACTGGCGTGTCAGGAAGTGACATCTAGGTTGGTGTGGGACTGCATCAGAGAACTGAATAAACTGGAAAAAGGTTGAAATTGTCTGGGTACCAGGACACCACACACACGTACAAACTTTCAACGTGAACGTACACGTACACGCCAGAGTGTTAGACCCAGAAAACTAATAAAACAAGGTCTAATCGTGAAACGTGTCGCGAAAAACGGCAAACAGCGTGAAAAACGGTCGCGAAACCCGCGAACGGATCCACGGTGTTGGTAGTGACGCTTTCTGGACGAGAAGACCACCAGAAAACGAACAATAGATGCGAAATTGCCACGTGGAGGCGTAAAATTTTTCATGTAAGGCGCCAAAACTGGTAATTAGTATCAAACCGAACGGGCGTGGTGCCAACCGGCTGACAAATCCTTGTGTATTAATATTGAAAAATAAGGGGGCAAGAAAGTTTTGGCATTGGTGCCTGTCTGGAGCTCTTCGCCGTAGAGTTCTTCCGAAACGAAAAAGTGCTCGATCACCCAGGTAAAGTCTCACACACATACTTACACACACTCTCACACACATACCAATTAAGTTCACAAACATATTTTCCTACATATATCAATAATCATATCCTATCCAAATTCCGGGACTTGGCATCGAGGCTTGAATCCGAACGATACTGTCAAAATACGCTCCGTATTAAAATATAAATTTAGTGTAACAAAGTGAAAAATAAACTAATACAAATAGACTACAGTGAATTCAGACCGACGGCTGTTCTTCCGATAAAAATATTTTGTCAAAATTCAGCAGATATCAGTGAGTAAGCATTGCAAAAAGCACAATAACCTCTTTAAACAATTAATAAACAATAGACAAAAACATTCCGATAAGAGCTGAAGTGCTGTCTGAAATAAAAGCGACGTTGCCGGCTATTGAAAAATTTCTGCATTAAAGCCGAATCACTATTACGATAATCCAAATCTGAGTATAACTTCAAAGTGCTGAGAAGGGTTGAAGCTCCGACAAGTCGATTGGGCGGACACCCTTACCGCGGTACAATGGAGCAAATACTAGAAAAATTAGAGAAAATCGACGAAAGAAATGTAAGAATCGAAAGCAAAATAGATAAAATGCAAGTAGACCTGGATAAATTAAATAAAGAAAACGAACAGTTGAAGGCAGATAACAAAGCAATGAGAACTAAAATCACAGAACAAGAAGTTAGAATCGAAATACTGGAAAGACAAGCTAGAAGAAAAAACATAGTAATACAGGGGGTTGAAGAAAACCAAACAGAAAGCGAACAAGAGATGATAAATAAGATAAAGGGGATAACGAAAAAAATCGGCGTACAAATAAACCTAGATGAAGAACTGGTAGAGATGAGAAGAATAGGCAGACAAGGTGATCCCCAAAATGTACCCAGACCCATCATAGTAGAAATGAAAAAGGAAGCTACGAGAATGGAAATTCTGAAGGCTGCTAAAAACCTAAGAGGAACTAAAATATATATCAATGAGGACTTCCCGAAGAAAATACTACAAGAAAGGAAGCATCTTCTCCAGTACATGAAAATGGTACGCCAGGAAGGACACACAGCCGCATTAAAATACAATAAATTATGGATAAATGGTGAACCGTTCTCACTGGAGCAACTAGAAGGCATAGATGTAAATTACTGGAAGAAACCTGAAGAGAAGAAGGGTAACGCTAGGACAATAAACGACAGATCTCCCATATCTGATAATATAGATCCAAGAGGGAAATTGATGAAATTGGCTTCAAAAAACTAACAAAAAATATAACAAAAGACAGCGACAGTATAACGGAGTTGGCAATGAATACGGACATGAAACTGTTTTGTAAGAAAAGACGCAAAAACAAAACAAAACAAAATAAAGCAAGAAACAAAAATAGAAAAATAAGAATAGGAACGTGGAATATCAAAACACTTCTAAGACCAGGCAAAATGGAAGAGTTGGCAAAAGAAATGATAAAATACAAGATGGAAATACTAGCGCCACAAGAAATAAGGTGGGCAGGAGAAGGGATGATTGCTAGAAGAAATTACACAATGTACTACGCAGGAGAAAGCAAACAGGGGCGCAATGGAACTGCCTTTCTAGTTAGTAACAGCGTAAGAGACAAGATTATTAACTTTAAAGCGGTTGATGGAAGAATATCATATATTAGAATGAAAAATAAACAAGCAAATTTAACATTTGTTAACATATATGCCCCTACTGAGAATGCTCCTGAAGAAGAAAAGAATGAATTCTATGATAAACTTGAAGAATTGTACGAAGAAATACCAAAGAACGACATACTAATCCTATTAGGAGACTTCAACGCAAAGATAGGGAAAGAAGACACGAACAGAGAAATCGCAGGAAAAGAAACAATCCATCAAAATACGAATAACAATGGCAGGAGAATATGTAATCTAGCAGCAGCAACCAATACTTTTATTATTAGCACTCAATTCAAGCACAAAAAAGAGCACAAAGTAACGTGGCTTATACCTGGAACAACAGATGGAAACCAAATAGACCACATCCTAATCTCAAAAAAATGGAGAACAATTTTTCAGAATGTAAGGTCTTACAGGGGAGCCAATGCTGATTCGGATCACATTTTGGTGATAGGCGACATGAAATTGAAGATACTTAAAGATAAAAACGACAGAAAGAAAAGAAAGAGGTGGAATCGGTCGAAACTAAATACAGATAATGCAAACAGAAAATTCTGCACTAAATTGGAAGAAAAACTACTAGTCCTAAAACCATCGAACATAGATAAAACATGGGAAGACATAAAAGATAGTATCTTAACAACAGCAGAGGAGACGATAGGACTAATGGAAAACAATAAAAGAAAGGATTGGTACGATGAAGAATGCGAGCAAGCTAGTAAAGACAAGGACAAAGCAAGACACAGGTGGGTGGCCACAGGGAAACAAGAAGATCTCCTACACTATAAAGAGAAGAAGAAAGAGTCAGACAAATGCTGCAAAAGAAAAAAGAAGAAATGGATCGAAGAATTACTGCAGGAACTCGAAGCCAATAGTAATGACAATGCAAGACTATACAAATACATAAAATCACAGAGAAAAAAAAGAGATACCAGCAAATATTGGAAAAATAGAATGGGAAACACACTATAGAGAACTGTTTAAAAAGAAAGACGATGCCGAAAACGCAGAAAATGAAGAACAAACAGAAAATAGGAATGGAGAACAATCAGAGCCTCCCTCATACAGCGAAATATTGGCGACTATAAACAGATTAAAGACAAGGAAAGCAGCAGGACCAGACGATATTATAAATGAGTTCTTTAAGAATGGGGGAGAGGAACTAGCCCACAGAATCCACAACCTAATAGAACGAATATGGGAAGAAGAAAGCATGCCGAACGACTGGAATTGTGGTCTGATAACACCAATCCCTAAAAAAGGCGACAAGACGAAATGCACTAACTACAGGGGAATCACGTTATTAAATACAATGTACAAAATATTAACTAATTTGATCAGACAAAGAATAGAAAAAGAAACTAGAACAAAAATAGGTGAATACCAACATGGATTCAGAGAAGGTAAGTCAACAATAGATGCAATACACATGGTAACGCAAATAGTCGAAAAAAGTTACGAGCACGGAATAGATCTACATATACTGTTTATTGACTACAAGCAAGCTTTTGACAGTGTAATAAGAGAGGAGCTAATTAAGGATATGAATCAATTAGGCATCCAAGAAAAATTAATAAGTCTCACGAAAATGACGATGAAGGAATCCAAGGCACGAATCTTAACAAAGGAAGGCCCGTCAGATGAAGTACAAATGGAGGTAGGTGTCAGACAGGGAGACTCCCTGTCAACAACATTATTTAACATTGCCATAGAGGGCGCAGTAAGAGCAGCCAAAATTATGGGAACGATTATCGAATCTTCAGCCCAACTGATTGCGTATGCAGACGATATTGCACTGGTTACTAGAGATTTAAAAACCATGCAGAACATAATATTAATACTAGATAAAGAAGCAAAGAAGAGAGGGCTAGTAATAAACCAAAGCAAAACGAAATACCTCAAGTGTTCAAGAGAGAATACGAATATAGAGAAAGAAATTAAGCTTGGTGCATATACATTTGAAAGAGTACACCGTTTCAAATACCTGGGAGTGATGGTAAATGACAGAAATGATAGAACAGATGAAATAAATGAACGCATCCTACTGGGTAATAAAACCTACTGGAACTACCAAAAATTCTTGAAAGAAAAACACATTAGTAAGAAAACCAAATTAAAAATTTACAAGACTGCAATCAGGCCAGTGATCACCTATGGTGCAGAGACGATGTGCCTAACACAAAAAGATGAAATGAGGTTAGAAATCTTAGAGAGAAAGATAATTCGACGAATAATGGGGCCGGTGAGGATAAGTGTAGGCGAATTTAGAAGATTAACCAATGAAGAAATTAAAGAAGTCATCGAGGGTGAAGACATAATCAAGTTCGTTAAAACGCAAAGGCTCAGGTGGCTGGGGCACACAGAAAGAGCTAACCCAGACTCTACGCTAAAGCGAATAACTGGATGGAGACCAACAACAAAGAGACCAAAGGGGAGACCCAAAACAAGATGGAGAGATCAAGTCTTAGGAGACATAAAGAAGCTGAGAATCTACAATTGGAAGGAGCGCTGTAAGGATCGGAAAGAATGGAGGAAAATTGTAGACAGGGCCAAGTCACACACGCTGCTATAATAATAAAAAAACAATAGCGGACTGATTCTCCGCAATAAATGAATCAGAGAGCCCAAAAGGGCGGCAAACACTCCGCCAGGAGTGAATAAGCCATGATGATGATGATGATCCAAATTCCTACATTTATTGATCCCTTTCCCACACATATCAAACCACATCCAAACACCCTCAAACACAATTTCCCACATATATCAATATATCAATATTTATCATCCTAACCTAATTCCTATACTTGTTAATTCCCTTCCTATCAAACACAATTTCCTACACTTATTAATATAACACATCCCATCCAATTTCCTACATATATTAATTCCTTTTCTACACATATCAATAACCAATAACCATCTGTCCACCAACACAATTTTCTACACATATCAATATATCATATCCTACATTTACCAATTCCCTTTTCCTTCTAATACACACCTAAACCCACAATATGCCACGAACAAGATCCAAATCCCAAAAACAGCCAGATCCTCCTCAACCAGCGAAAGCGGAGGCCGATTGGCAATCTGTTTCCGACTCCCAATCCTCTTCTTCTTCTTCCTCGCACACCTCACATGTGTCAGTCAATATTGACGGACATGAACCTCGTACGCCACAGGAATGGAAGCAGGCTCTTACAGAGATCTGTCACCAAAATCCTGAGGCTGCCAGCGAACACATTACTCCAATAGACCACAAAATCAAAAAAACCCAACAAACAGAATCACCAACCCCTGATACCATTCGTAAAATCCTCCAAAACGCCTTTATGTTTGCAATCCCTGGATACATCCCCTCCCCTTCACCCCCCCTCCCCAACAAACCCCCCTTACCCTCAACCCCCCTATCCAAACCCCCACACATACACCAGAAATAGCAGTACTACACACACCACCAACACCACACCCTATTCATTCACAAACCACCTCACCTAACCCTCAATTAACAATCCCTCCCCCCTCCCCTCAACAACCACCTCAATTCAAAAGCTATAGAGTAGAGGACATCCCTACTGATATCTGCCAGCAGAGACCTTTTTATCGCCTTCTCCTAGAACACAACCTCATCCCTAATCTAGACTCGATAAAAGTCTTCCCAGCCCAAAAGGCGGCCTCAATCCGAACTACGAAACTCCTAGACATCGCCCACATCACGGCAAACCTTCGAAAAATTATCAAAAATGACCACATCCGAATCGTCGCTCGTCTACCTAAATCCCAAAATCCACTACCCAATACAAACAATTCGTCAATCTTTCACCTTGTCATAGCCGGCGTGGCAAAAACCTTTTCTCAAAAATTAATCGAGGATAACTTATCCGAAAATAATTTTCCATTCACCAAAGTAGTTCGAATAATCGTCGGCTCCACCAACCAACCCACCTCCTACATCAGAGTATTCACCAACTCTGAAACAAAGTTCACTGAAGCACTCTCGAGCGGTATTTTGATCGAGGGTGAACGGTTGGCCTGTGAAATTCCACGATCAGGCAACTTTGTTCCCGTTCGGTCAAAGTATTGCTCGAGATGCTGCAAAAGCGGACACTTCAACACAGAATGCCCCGAAAAATCAAGAATTTGCCCGTTCTGCGGGCTCAGCCATCGATCCACTGCCTGTCCCACGATATCAGCTCCCAAATGTCCTAACTGTAGCGGTCCTCATCCTGCTTTCTCACCACGATGCCCTTACCGAAGCGCTCATCCCGCTAATTATAACCAAACCCAACCAGTATACACAGAGAAGCAAATTCCTTCCTATGACCTATCCTCCAACATGAAATCCCTAATACATTTCACATCCATGCTCCTATTCAACGTCTTCCCTGAAAAGAGAAGCGCAATAACCTTATTCCTCAACCAAATATCAAATGCAATGTATGGATGTGCTATAGCCACTTCATGCACAAACAACCTCATCAATCAAACCTTCACCCACCTACACATCTAAAAAACACACCACAAACATCAACACACATTCACACACATTCTAACAACATCCAGCTACATCACTTTACCTCCACTCCGCTCACAATCCAAATTAATAAACACCTAATCCTATACCACAATTAATAAACACATAATCCTAATCCGTAAACACACAAAAACACATTCAACACATCACCTACACTGTGAGCACCGTCTACACTCCTTAAGAGTCGCTAAATAATCACAAGTACAGGGGGAGATTGGTTTTCTGTGGTTTCCCAATCTCATTGCACAATGATACCTGATCCTAGGTGAGGACATAGCCACAGCTATCCTCCACGCGTTTTTCCAACAAACAAAAATGGCCAAAAATCTGAAAGGAATCGTTTTTCCACGGAACTTGTACTTCGTGACAGGCTTGGTATACTTGGCTAACTCTTCCGGAAGGTAAGATTTTTGCCTCTTGCCTTCTTCTTGTTCTCGGTATCCTTCCCTTCCATCTCCTCATCCTTTACCTTTTTTAGCGGCGGCGCCCTTAGTCTTCTGAGTCCAACTGAAGTCATACGAACGAAAACTGGCATTCAAACGAAACAAGCATTAGCATCCAGATAATTAAACCCACCCTTGAAGAAGCATAGAGCTTAAAGCAAGGTAAAAACGCAATTGATTGATTGATGACCAGGACATCAGAGCATCAAAGGCAATGAAAAAGCAGATCAAGTTGCAAAAGGAGAATCGAACGAATCAAACGAACCCTGGCTGTAACTCTGGGAATACCAAAAGCTATAGTTCGTAAGACTGTAGAGGACTTGATCAGAGATAGTCATGAGTGATATTGAAAGATAATCTCAAAACAAACGCATGGAAAAATATTCATTGGTGAACCATGGACAGATCACATAACAAATGTCGAAGGATTAAATCGAATGGGCAGAGAACGATAATCTCTGCCAATAATAAAAAGAAGAAAACTGCTTATCTGGGTCATATATTTTGAAATTCCAAGTAACAATTCTTAAAGCTTATTATGGAAGGGAGGATAGAAGGAAAACGCGGCATCGGAAGAAAGAAATACTCATGGCCTAAAAACATAAGGGATTGCACAAACCTCGATGCACATGCACTCTGTAGAGCCACACAAGATCGAGAGAAGAATGCCAGAATTGTCGCCAACATCCACTAATTGTATAGTATGTATAAAAAGAACCGAGGAACTGCTTCATATGGGCAGGAACAAACTGAGAACAGTAACAGGAATATTAACTGGGCATTCACCAGTAACCACAATAACCACGATAAAAACAGCCAAAATTAAATACCTCGGTCACATCATGAGGAACAGCGAAAGATATGGGTTGCTGCAATTAATTCTTCAAGGAAAGGTAGAAGGAAAACGAGTACCAGGAAGGCGAAGAATGTTCTGGCTTAAAAATCTACGTACGTGGTTCAACACAACAACCACAAATCTTTTCAGGTGCGTATTATGCAAAATACAGATTGCCATGATGGTTGCCAACATCCGAAACGGATAGGCACTACAAGAAGAATTCACTAGTAAGAGAATTCCTGAATAAAATAGAGATTTACAATGGAGACCTTAACGATTATGCGACTGCGAGGCGCTGGATCGTAAAAGATAATAACTTTATGGACAACCAAGAGGAGACCCTGGTATATTTAGGACACATCAAGCAAAAGACCAGTACAAACCTCTACAAGGTACAAAACTTCTAGACTGGGTGTAGGACAATGGGCAGCAAACACAATAAGCTTCAGCTTCAGTGATAACGAAGATCTTTTTGATCAAACAGGCCTAGGGGGAAAACTTCATTCTTTCTTACTTTCAAGGGCACGATTGTCGAAGTCTTGATGTCTTTAATGATATATAATACAACTCATTATTTCGAGATCTTAGAAGCAGGCTTCATTTTCTTTATATATTTGTAAGTTTGTGTTTAAAAATTTATTAGCCTCATTTCTATATCAGTGCTTTGTTTAGAAAATTTAAACTATAAGAACTTATTTTTAATTGAATATAAGTTAATGTTTTTGGTAATACTAATTATCTCTTTTTTGTTTTAGTAAGCGACCATCACCTGACGAATGCCACGAAAATCGCTGGTTACTACCTACCGATTACATGATCAAGAAACGAGAAAGAGCGGTTTTCTTGGGCCACAGGATTAAAGAATATTCCGAAGAATACCACAGCGCACGAGATCAATCCGCGCAGCAATCGCAGAGCTTATCCGGAGTCAAACTGATCCGATCACAGAGTATACAAGAAGAATTATTGACTGCACCCTAGCAACTTTAGGTTCTTAATATATGTAAATACTGTTTATATATTTCTATTGCTGAATAATTTCAGAAACAATTTGAAATGTTGGATTTATAATTAAAAAAATCAAAATTTGTTAAAAAAATCATTGTTGACAATACAATTAGTTATAAAAATGGCTTATTGTTATATCTCATTAAGATACTGAAAGTTTTCTTTTAATTTACAACCATTTTATTTTTCTTTTTGTTCTACTAATAAAGTGATATGATAAATGGTTTTATTATTTAAAAACTCTTCATTAACTAGCCTATTTTCAACAAATAGTAACCTACGCCTAAATCCCAAAGACGCATAAAATATAGCAGTCAAAGCATGGTACATTTATAAGAAACTATAGTCTACCCTTTTACCTCTATATCTCCCAAATATAGAAAGTTCACCTCATATAAAACCAGATTTCATTGCAGAGCAAAAATATATCGGTGTTGTGATATTAGCTCCGATCCAAATTCAGTAGTAAAAATAAAAATAAAACTAAAGAAACTTAGAGACCTCATTGGAGCAGATATATATATATATATATATATATATATATATATATATATATATATATATATATATATATATATATATATATATATAAGAAATACTGGATATTATTGACTGTCGATATAAACAAACAACTCAGTTTATTAGGGTTGCAGTCAGAATATTGGCCGGGATGTTAAAAAAAAACACTCTTTTAACTTTTTGTCGAGCTTTCGGAATGATTTTATTCCTTTTTCAAGACACTGTAAAAGACAATTATGTAAATATTTAAAAAATATCACAATTCTTCAGTGTAACTTACTAGTCGTTGAGATTATTTTTGTAAGCATTGAACACTCAACATTTATACCACACATTAAAATATACAATTATGGACATAATACATCATAAAATTTTTAAAATTTGTTGTAAAAATAGTAAAACTTTTTTTTTTTTTTTATTAGTTTGATGGCCTTGGCCGAGCCAATTAGCCAGATAGTAAAACTTGATTGATGGCATGTTTTACTGGTGTATATTAACTCATACAGAGAATGGAAAGAAAAAACAGTGTAATTAATATGTAATTAGGTGTAAATTGATGTTATCTTTCTTTATAAGAAATACTAGAGCCCCTCCTTAGGTGTCTATACTTTTTTTAACCTGTCTTAATGGTATGCAACATATTATACAGAGGTGTAATTTTTTGTACAGGTAAATATTTATTTTATTTTTGGTGTTTTTCTAGTAAATAACAATAAATGTTACTTAATTTGTCTATATCTGACTTTTTATTGATGCAAGATGTGCTAGATTTTATGAAACACATTTCCAAAAAAATACGTTTTAAATGGTTCTTTTCTTTTGCCAAAATACAGGAATCATCGAAATTGAACTCATGTTTTAGAGTTAGTGCATGTTCTGTCAATGCACATGCATTGATTTTTTTGGTTTTTATATCACTGCGATGTGATATCACCCTGCTGTGAAAATTACGAGGTGATTCTCCTATGTAAATTTTATTACAGTTACTACACGGTATAGAATAAACAACATTCGATGACTCCTGTATTGTGAAAGGATCTTTTGTTTTTGTGTAAAGCTTCGATACTGTTTTCACATTTTTGGTTGTAATTTTTAAGCCACTAACATTTTTAAAGATGTTCATTACCTTAGGTGTCAAAAATGGAATATAGGGTAGGCAACCATAAGTTATTTTATTTTAGATGGTAATATTGAGCATCAATATTACCATCTAAAATAACTTATGGTTGCCTACCCTATATTCCATTTTTGACACCTAAGCTAATGAACATCTTTCAAAATGTTAGTGGCTTAAAAATTACAACCAAAAATGTGAAAACAGTATCGAAGCTTTACACAAAAACAAAAGATCCTTTCACAATACAGGAGTCATCGAATGTTGTTTATTCTATACCGTGTAGTAACTGTAATAAAATTTACATAGGAGAATCATCTCATAATTTTCACAGCAGGGTGATATCACATCGCAGTGATATAAAAACCAAAAAAATCAATGCATGTGCATTGACAGAACATGCACTAACTCTAAAACATGAGTTCAATTTCGATGATTTCTGTATTTTGGCAAAAGAAAAGAACCATTTAAAACGTATTTTTTTGGAAATGTCATAAAATCTAGCACATCTTGCACCAATAAAAAGTCCGATATAGACAAATTAAGTAACTAGTAAGTATTTATTGTTATTTACTAGAAAAACACCAAAAATAAAATAAATATTTACCTGTACAAAAAATTACACCTCTATATAATATGTTGCATACCATTAAGACAGGTTAAAAAAAGTATAGACACCTAAGGAGGGGCTCTAGTATTTCTTATAAAGAAAGATAACATCAATTTACACCTAATTACATATTAATTACACTGTTTTTTCTTTCCATTCTCTGTATGAGTTAATATACACCAGTAAAACATGCCATCATCAAGTTTTACTATTTTTACAACAAATTTTAAAAATTTTATGATGTATTATGTCCATAATTGTATATTTTAATGTGTGGTATAAATGTTGAGTGTTCAATGCTTACAAAAATAATCTCAACGACTAGTAAGTTACACTGAAGAATTGTGATATTTTTTAAATATTTACATAATTGTCTTTTACAGTGTCTTGAAAAAGGAATAAAATCATTCCGAAAACTCGACAAAAAGTTAAAAGAGTGTTTTTTTTTAACATCCCGGCCAATATTCTGACTGCAACCCTAATAAACTGAGTTGTTTATATATATATATATATATATATATATATATATATATATATATATATATATATATATATATATATATATATATAGATATATATATATATATATATATATATATATATATATATATATATATATATATATATATATATATATAATAAGGATCACTCAGACGAGTGGTGGGTTCAAATATCGGTCTACTAGGTAGAGAAATAAAAGACAAAGTTGATACTACTTCATCTATTTTGAAGACGTTTCGCTATCGAATTCTGATAGCATCATCAGTTCATCTAAAAATTTTACATTATGAATACCACACATTCATGAAGAAGATGTTAAATAGTTACCTTTAAAAAGATATGTAGTTGTCAATGGTATTAAAAAGATAGTACAAAAACTCAAATAAATGGACATCATATGGTGATATTGTATAAACAATTAAATAACTAACAACATTTAGAGACTTAGTAAAAATTAGCAAAGCAACAGAACACGTGGTCTAATAAGCATATAATATTTTACATATTAACTAGTGAAAAAGAACTAAGAAAATCATTGATTCACTTCCAACTATGCAAAAAATTTTATTTTATGACTTCATCTTAACTTTTGGTAGCATTATTTAAGTTATCGACATTGAGATATATTTTTTATATATAACTTTTATTTCTCCACCTAGTAGACCGATATTTGAACCCACCACTCGTCTGAGTGATCCTTATTATATATTGGATAGGCGGTCGTACTCCTTTTTGCGATATATATATATATATATATATATATATATATATATATATATATATATATATATATATATATATATATATGGTGTTGGGCAAACTAACACAGAAATAAAGTCTTTTTTTTGGCCTCAGGTTCAAGCAGTGGCGGCCGGTCAGGTCCCACACCTTTATAGCTATTATAGATTTTTTAAATATTTAATTTAATCAGTATTTTAATAAATAATTGTGGCAGGTAACCCGTTGATGTCATTTGTTTTTGTGAAATAAAAAAATATCTGTGAGATAATAATAAAGACTAAATTTTATTCATGGTTTTTAAAAGAATTCGTCCAATCTGAGCGTTAAGTGATCACTGCGTAGACACTTTTCAAATTGATGATCCGATATCGAAGACATCTATCCGCCTGTGAATTCTTAAAACGGCACGTTTTGTTTTTTCGGCAAGCCGATCCCAACATTGACGATTTACTTGTAAAAATCAACGGCATATTAGTTGATTAGCAACCAAATATACATTTCTTTCCATATGAACTTAATTACAAAGTACGGCAAATTTAAATTTGCCGATGTTTCATTTGGATTGGTGATTGGTCGCGAACTGTACATTGCGAGCGCGGGATGAAACGTTATTTCATATAAGAACGTAAGTAGTAAAGTGAAGTGATATTTAGTGCACGAACTAGCCTTTCTTTTGAAGCTACTTTTGGTGATTGTTGTTGAATATTGAATGCAGATGGTTTAAATATAAATTTGGTTTGTTTGTGTCCTACTAAAGGTGAAAAGTTTTCATGATTTAGTGTATAATAAATAATTCAAATATATTTACTGTACTAACAACAGGCGTGTAAGAATTTTTGAGGCTTGCTTAGCTTCAAGAAGTTAAATTTTTTTCTACCATGAGCCTTTTAATTTAGTTTTTTTTCTTTGAATTTTGAACGCAGTTCGAAATAGATTTGTGCTCAAAATTCGTACCTGGGTAAAATATTTCCTTCAAAAGTAAGTAGGGGAACTTGGGTCACAATGAATCATGTTACACAGTGAACCACCAGGCCCCACCCTTTGTCTATACACTTTATCCCCCAACTTCAAATCTTTGCCGGTTTCACACACCTTAATGCTTTAGTTCGCTAACAATCAATCTAACATAGTATAATAATGTGTATTTCGATAACTGCTGAAGGGTAAGTCGAATGCTTTTTTTCACATTGTTCTATTTATTAGTTTTGTTCCAAGCCTCGCAGTAAATTCAGATCAATTATAATTTCAAGCTACTTAATAGGTCTTTGTACATACTGTTTATGTTGGCTTCCAAATCAACGTCAATATTTTAGTTACATAGGTAGCGGTTGGTAACAATGAACGATTGACGAATACCATAATGGTTGACTGTACAAATTTTATACTAAGAATGTATGCATTTATTTTCATTTATCATAATTTGGTTCTTGATCGCGTTTATTTATTGTTTTTAGAATCAAAATGCCACGCAACCAAGTTAAAAAACATGCACAGTGAAGAGCAGATACAAAGTGCTTTAGACCTCATATCTGTTAGACTGTTAGAAGATATTGGCCAAAATTTAAAAATACAGATGGGTCTATCTATACGGCTGACTCCTAATTATGAAGTGAATAAAATTTTCACAGCCAACCAGGAAGAGTTACTGGCCAATTATATTGTAAAATTTCGCCAAATGTTTTACTGCTAGAATGTCGTCAGCTGGCCTAGGAAATGGCAATGGTCAACAACATCAAAATTCCTGAAAAATGGAATGATCGACAGCTGGCTGGCATACAATAGCTGCTATAAAATTTTCATAAGTCAGAAGAAGTTACGTTATGTAAGCCTACATTTGCTGATAGCGCTAGGATATATAATCTTGACGAAACTAGTTACCTGGCCGTGCAAAAATCTCAAAAGGTGCTCGCAGCGAAAGGACAAAAGCAGGTCAGCAAAGTCATTAGTGGTGAAAAGAGCATGTTAGTAACTACCTGTTATATCATCAATGCTTCCGGCAATTTTTTACCACTAGTCATGATTTTTCCTGATGGCCATTTTAAGCATCACATGACAAATGGGGCCCCCACCGGCACGTTAGGATTGGCCACACGGTTTGGGTGGATGAACAGCACACTATTTGTATATACGATGGAACACTCAAATACTAGCAAAGAAAACTCTAGCTTACTCATAATGAATAACTTGGAAGCTTATATTTCCATAAAGGGGGAATTTCCAGGAGAATCTTATAAACCCTAACTGTTTTAAGCCATTGGAAAAGTTACCCAGTAAAGGAGACTGTGTTGGTTGAATTAAACTGGAAGAATCGTAAAGTCTATGACTTGCCAAGTTATTACAAGAGACCAAGGAACAAGAAGTAGAAGTTTTTTAATGAGGAATTATAAAATGGAAAACATATTTCGTTTGGAAGACATTTACACGTGTCTCCGGTTGTCCTGTCAGACGTAAAATTGATATCACCACCACCAAGTATATGTGGGAGTACTAAATGACAATAGTCATTCTTCTTCTTCTTATTGCGTCATCTCCTTTAGAAGATTGGCGATCCAAATGGCAATTGTACCTTTGGAAACTGCTGCACAAACGATTTCTGTGGATGAGCTGACCGCTCCTCATCTCCTCAGGTCTTTCAGATACGAGTTCTGGCGTCTTCCAACTGATCTTTTGTCCTGCACTTTACTTTCTAATATGATTTGAAGTAATTCATATCTTTCACCTCTCAACACATTAATTAAGGATTGTATTTTTCTCTCTTAGATTATGATGAGTAATTCTTTTTGTTTACTAATGCGCCGAAGTACCTCACCATTGGTAAATTTTTGTATCCATGGAATTGACTCTAAAGACTGAGCTCTAGACTAATGTCTGATCTTCTAAAAAATGTTTTTTTTTTATGTTGATGAGTGTTTTCTTAGCTTGTTATATTCTTGATAGGATTCCTTTTTTGAGTTACACTGGCTGTTGATATTTACTCCCAAATATTTTATGGAAGTTAAGTGTTCTATTATTTCTCCCTTAGCATACAAATGCACGATGGTTGGTATCTTTGAAAATACTAGAATTAATATATAAAAATACTTGAAAATACTAGAATTTTAGTTTTGGAAACATTTAGATGTAACAGAACATTTCGCTATAACGAACTACTGCATTTATTATATTTTGTGGGTTGCTTGCTATTAGGACGGTATCATCAGCGTACCTAATGTTCTATGCCGGTTCTGTTAATCTTGATTCCTTCTTGATAACCTAACCTGGTCTAATGGTTTTTTGAATATAGATTCCGAATACAGATTAAATAATAGCGGTGATAAGACGCAACCTTGTCGCACTCGTCATCGGATTCGTATATCTTCGGATGTTGTGTGCTTCTTTTCAATTGTTGCCGTTTGGTTCCAATATAGTTCTGAGTCATTATATTCATTCAAATTAAATTTTACTCAAATATACATTCGCTAGTTTGTAGTAGTAGTGAGTTATTAACGGTTTTGCTATGCTAAAGATTGTTTATATTGTTAATTGTAACAAATAAAAAATATAATATTATTTGTCTATACACAAAAACTACACTTTCTCTTAATTGCTATATAAGTACTTATTAATGTAAGTCATCTTAATGTAATATATATTACAAAATAACAATTCAGATACTCTACTTTATTTTACATCTTTCTTGTTGAACCACAGCCTGAACATGCTGTGATATAACAGCAAAAGGATTTTTCTTAAATGTTGTGTCTTTGACTGCTCTCTTATAAAATTCCATATTACTTGTAAGTTTCTTTTTTCTCTTAGTAGCTTTCTCTATACCCTTTTTCTTTTTAGGTTCTTTACCTGCCTTACAATCAAAATCTGTGTTTTTCTTTAATAATGAGTCCAGTGAAGGTAAAGCATCACGCAATGAATTAGTGTCACCAATAAGCGCTAAGTTTTTTCTCTTTTCTCTGATTTTTTGTTCTTTCTTTAGTTCATTGCCTAAATCTATTTTTTTCATCAGTAACTTTCGTTTCAAATTCACTTTTTCTTTTTTCTTAATAATCTTGTTAATTGGATTATGCGACTTAATGGACTTGTATGAGAGAACACTTTTTACATCATCTGACACAGCTGATTTTCCTTGTTTTATACTAAAATCAAAGTTGTAGGAAATGGATTCCTGTATTGGAGTGGTACTATTTTTTGGTTCAAAAGCAATTGGAGCTGTTGGTTTTGGTTTCTTTACTTTTCCCATGATAATATCTAAAATATACAGAAAAAAATTAGTGTCTATTAAAAATTGTACGAAATAAATTATACATGCATTTCAGTTGTAAATAATTAGTTCATTAAATTATTTTTTTTTAATATAGTTTTATATAATTGATTGTCAAAAAAAAAGGAGCAGTTTTAAGTTAACTAGCTAAATATTCTACCTATCCAGGGAAAGGTAGAAGGCCGAAAATCAGGAGGAAGATCTCCAACAAGATGGATAGATCAAATTACAGGCCAATGCAAAAGACCTTTGCATGAGTTAAAAGAAATGACCAGAGACAGAGATCTTTGGTGGGGGATAATACTTGACATCACGATGACCACTACACTCCCTCCGGGGGTCACGATTAAGAGAAAGTTAAATATTGAAATTATACTCTTTTAGGTTTATAACCCTCCACCACTAAGCTTCTTGGCCATTCAAGTGTTATTTCTTGATTTTCCCTATAGACCGTCTTGACTTTCCATCTACCTTTTCGATTGACAGTGTTAACCAAGTTATTTTGTAGTTTCAATCTAAAAGTTAGTAAAGTCAAAGGTATAAGCTCTTCTGAAATGAAACTGTACAGGTTAGAAATATTATGTTTTGGTTGTTTTTTATACTAGGTATTTAGGGTAAACACTGCATGGGGAAACTGCAGGTGGATCAAATATCTCTGCGGTTACCACAGCTTTCCCAAGCACGAATAAAATATGTAGGGTGACTGGTAAAGTTAGCAACCTACCAATCATAAAAACGAATACTGCTCAAAGAAACAACATAAAGCTTCGTAACCGGATGGATTATATGAAGACGACCACGGCAAGAAATAAGGACAAAAAAATTGTCAAAACTCAGATGAGAGTTGCCACATGGAACATTACAACTCTCAACACAACAGACCAAGAAATAACCAAAGTGCTGAAAGGGAAACAAATACACATATACACAAGGAGTAGCCTTACTCATAAACCAAAGATTAAAACGTATGATCAAAGAGTGTCAATACGTATAGGAAAGTATTGTAACAACAAAAATAAGAATGGAGAAGGAAGACGTGATTATCATTGGAATATATAGCCAAAAAATAACAGCCTCAAACAACAAGTGAAACATTTTATGACGAATTACAGTAGTATACAAAGTCAGAGGGAAAATGATATTACTGAGGGATTCTAAAGCTCGAATATACAACCAAATGGTACCGGAATTAAGCAAAAACATAACGAGAATGTTAAAAAAAATTTCTCTTGCGGATATTGTAATTATCGTTAATATTTTTATTTAGAATTCGTATTTTAAAATACATTTTACATCTAAAAAAGTAATTGTACATATTCGCTAACATTTACATATTTTGCAGTTTCTATTAAGTTTCATTAATATCATTAATATCAAGTTTTATTAATATCATTTATATTATTTAAATTAATATTTATATATATATATATATATATATATATATATATATATATATATATATATCGATCAAAAATAATGGGCGTAAGATGTCTCAACTCAGCAGTTGTAGGTAGCGATCACAGCCTACTATTATTTAAAATAAGAATTATCATGAAATACTTCACACCCAAGAGAACGCCATCAACAAAAACAAAAATCAGAGTTGAAGGACTAACTACGGAATCGACGGAATACTTATACAAAAAAATAATATCAGAGAAGATTGCTGGGAATGAAATATTACAAAACGATAATATCGAGGAAAGCTGAGAAAAACTCGAAAGTATCATAATTAATGCAGCAAGCACTTAGAGAGAAGAAAATAATGAACACTTACATATCAAACAAGAAAACTCCATGGTTTAAAGAGGAAGTAAAGACAAAATGTGAAGAAATCATAACCTTTTGGTTCACAAACTTCATGCATCTGGCTTTGGTTACCTCATTGTTAATTAGATGAATTAAAAGTTTTCTGATGGGACATACACAGCAAGTTTGTATTAACAATTATGGTCCCTTGTTTTTTAACTTGTTAATTAACGATATTGGTAAGGCTATCTAAAACTCACACTTTCAGCTATTTGCTGATGATCTTAAGCATACGTCCATGATCTTAAGCCATTTCGGATATATGACGGAGACGCAACGTGGAGAACACCAAGACTGGATAAGAAAGAGAAGAGTAGAATTGAACGATCATATAAGCCATATGACAACAAATCGAGTAGTAAAAGCATCGAGAAACAGTTCCCCGTTGTTAGTGATTTGAAATTTATACTGCAAAGAAGATTTATTAATGAGAGTTGGACATCCTGTTTTTATGAGATGTTGGGGGAAAATTCGAATTTATTTAATTTATCTTAACGGTAGAACTATTTACAATAAATTACACAAAATAGTAAAAAGTAGAGATCATGTAAAATAAACATCAAAACAACAAAAAAACAATTAAACAGTAAAAATTAGTACATTAAAACAGTATATCAAATCACAAAAGGTAAAAAAATATCACATATTTAGATTAATTAGACTCTTGTTGCCTTTTGAAAACATTAATGTTTGGACAGAATGGATCCAACAGGAAGTCATTACAAGAGCTGAGCATTCTCAACAAGGGAAAATGATGAGCATAATCAGTCCTAGTTCAGTGTGTCGAGTTCTATGTATTGTATTTAAATACACATTGGCTAATAACGGGGGACAATTAACAACGTTGTTTAGAATTTTAAACAATAATAACATATTAGCTCTCAACCTGCGGTTCTTCAGTCTATCAACGTTAAATTGAGACATTATTACAGAATAATCTATAAAGTAATTTTTAGTATTTCTTATATTAATGTGCTTTAAAAGCTTAAGATCTTAGAAACTTCCGATAAACGCTCTCCAATCCATCAAAGTAGACTTGGTGAAATGGGGACCAAAAACAGCAGTATTCAAGACCTGAGCATAGACCCAGAGAGCAGCACAATAATTTAGATTACAATCGGTGAGAGATCATAACTGTTACAATATATATATATATATATATAAAACCAAGATTACAAAATCCTGTTTCCTTAATTTTAATAAAATGGCTTCTAATTGTCAACACACAATCCAATAATCTATAATCTCAATAACTGAATCCAACAGTACATCATTAGGAACATATCTATTAGATATTAGATTATTTATACCAATAAATGAAATACAAGAACATTTAGTTGGATGATTTCAACTGATTTATCATGTACACAACGAAATGACTTAAGATTATGGACGTATGCTTAAGACATCGAGTTAGAATCTATGGAGAAGCTATGAGCATATTAACGTATGTATTAAAAACGGCGTAGGTAGGAGTGGCTAACGATAATACCAATATGGCGGTGACATCAGGGCCAGACTCAATAATATTAAAACTACTATACAAATATGACTAGTTATTCAGAAGATTTAATCATAATTTCAAAAAGTGTACTACATTTAATAAACTATGATTTATTTATCCCGCGGTTAACACTAAAAACACGATATATTATACAAGATAAATTAATACAGTCAAATAACCTGTGGAACGATATTCCTGAAGATTTTTTATTAACATTACTTCTGCTACTGCAACTACGTTGAGAACAAGAAACCATTATTATGCACTATCACAATATATTACAGTTTCTATAAAAGTATTATAAAACTGAAAATATTCGAAAAACAACAAATGTAAGTAAAAAATAAAACATATACGATCTGTCAAAAGTTTCAAAACAATATTAACAATATGGCCGAAGTGAGGTCGTTTTTAGTCACGTGATGCCCTCTCCATAGATTCTAACTCGATAGCTTAAGATCATCAGCAAATAGATGAAAGTGTGAGTTTTGGATAGCCTTACCAATATCGTTAATTAACAAGTTAAAAAACAAGGGACCATAATTGTTAATACAAACTTGCTGTGTATGTCCCATCAGAAAACTTTTAATTAATCGAATTAACAATGAGGTAACCAAAGCCAGATGCATGAAGTTTGTGAATCAAAAGGTTATGATTAACCCGGTCAAAGGCCTTTTTTGAATGAATGACCTGAATTTTGTTGAGTATTGTTGGTAATTGACAAGGTCTGTTACTGTTGATTTCCTGTTAGAAAATCCATGTTGTTCATCAATATCTATCCTATACATTTAATTTTAATGTCTTAAAGGATCAATAAAGAATGATTATGACTATAAGTATGTTTCTACAACTCCAGGTGAGATTTATTGATACCAATTTATCAAGAAGTTTTGGGATTGCTGATTGAATAGTTATACCTCTATAATTATCAAACTCCGATTAACAGATGTATAGGTAGGTGTAAAAAAACTATTTTTCCAATATTGTGGAAATACAGATAATGACATTGATAAATTGAAAATTTGTTGTTAAGGTTTACAAAGGGAAAAAATACAGTTCCTTATAAGTGCTGCAGGTATACCATCAGGCCCTGAAGAATATGTAGTTTTCTAATTCATAATCCCCTCAAAAACATCAGTCAGACTAAATTTCAGAATCTAGAAATCCACACTATAGTCCAATTCAAAATTAGGTAAATTATACTCACTATCATTATATGTACCTGAAAAATAAGTGGCAAACAGATTAACTATTTCTTCACCACTGTGAGGTATTACTACTACACCGTTTGATAGGAACAAACATATTGATGGCATCATACAAATATGGTAAAAAATGTTCTATGCAGAAATTAATATCTGATTCATCTAATAGGTACCTTGTTCCAAAGAATTGAGGCTAAATATTCATTCAAAACTATGTAAGTATATTTTTAAAATCATGATAGAAAACATCTTATTTAAGAAACAAATTTAAATTGGCTGCATGTAACAATATAGTATAAGCTGCATAATATTGCGAAGTATTCATTAGAATATCAGTTGAAATCAACACAACTGCATCTCTCTGAGTACACAAAACTAGATCTAAAAATGTATTACTAAGGTTAGGCAAAGCATTTACTTGTGATATATTTTAAAGATTGTAGCAAGTACAAATAATAGTTGCTGGAGA